CGACTCAGGATGAAAAACCGGTCCTGGGGAATGGGTCGAGACTTCCGGGGACCCCGTGTTGAGAAAGACACGACTTCGGATCTCTGGGAGCAAGCGCCATAAACATACCCATCGTTCTTTGTTGAAAGTAGGTCTTTTTGGATTCCCAGATTCCAATCTACTCAAAGAGCCAGCCTACTTCAATGATCGAGCGGCTTCACCTTTTCCGTCCTCTTCAGGGGGCGAGCGGACACCCAATCTTTTTTCGACGCTTTCCTACTTCATGTTTCTACCTACTTTTTCCGACCGATGGGTAAACTTTTAGTGCTCCGCGCGGATTCCCTGGATCCGCGCTGGCCCCCCTTCCCTGGCGTGCGGAGCGCGCCATGGGCGGCGCCTGAGGCGCCGCCAGGGGAGTTTAGGTTTAAGTCGGGCCTGTCCCTCTACAGGAGGAAAATTGAAAAAGATTCAACAAATAGTTAGGGGACGATTTCTTTTTACTAGTTTTGACAAGTTTGGAGTATTTCGTGTCTGTTCTTAATTTTCGTCCCGAATTCGCCTGTAGGGGGACATGCCCGATCTAAGTTTGAAGTATACATATAGGCTATACCTAAATGCTGTTTTGCTGGATTTCGGCTGTACTTTGTTTTTCGTTTTGGCAGGGGGGTACAGGAAAACAGGTAGAGCAAAACGAACAACACAACGAAAGCACAACGAAACACGACGTTTAGGTCCAGCCCTGGGTCATGCCATTTTCTCTTCCTCAAACTCCTCTCGGAGCCGCCCATGGGGCGGGGATCAAGGAGCGTCCGTGGACTCCAGCGGCCTCTGGAGGCCTTCGGGAGTCCCTCGGCGGAGACCTCCGCGGGAACGATTCAAAAATAGTAGGCAAATGGTCTGGGGACTTTTTTTGGTGTTTACATGTTTTGCGTATTTTTTGGTGTGCGATATATATATATATGTATATATATATATCTATATATCTAGCTATCTACATATCTGTATATATATATATATATATATCTATCCATATATATCTATCTATCTATCTATCTATCTATCTATCTATCTATCTATCTATCTATCTATCTATCTATCTATCTATATATCTATCTATCTATTTATCTATCTATCTATATATCTATCTATCTATCTATCTATCTATCTATCTATCTATCTATCTATCTATACAAATATATATATATATATATATATCGTCCTACGTCCGCCTGTAGGAGGAACGCAAGGCTCGCGACGGCGACGCTGCGCGGGCGCTCCTCCAGGCTTCGGGAGCCTTGAGGCGGGGGTCGATGCGAGCTGGGGCCAGCCAGAGCGCCAGATCTTGCAGTATCCTGCGCCAGCCGGGGGCGCACCGACTCGGGCCTGGGTGAAGGATCCTGCAGGACCTTACAGGATCTTGCGGGATCCTGCAGAGCCTGACTGACCCTGGTCTGGATCGACCCAGGCTAGTAGATCAGAGGAAGAAAAGGTACTGACCCGATCCTCCGGCTCGATTCTCAGAGGAGGAAAATGTACTGATACCGCTGCAGTCGAAACCGATGGTAAGGATGGGCAGCCTTCCCAAGGGTACCCTTGCATCCTTGCCTCCTTTGACTATCTTTGAATATTCTTCCTGTAGCGGGACAGGCCCGACTTAACGGTCCCGAGGCCTGGCAGGGGCACCGAGAGGCCGCACGCGAGGAAAAGCCTCCGTCTCGACTCTGTTTGCTCGAGACGCCCGGTGACCGATACCCACCCAGGGGCCCCGAGAGGCCGCAGACGATGAGCAACCCTCGCCTCTCGATTTTGATGATGATGATGATGTCGGTGTTGTTGTTGTTGTTGCTGCTGCTGTTAATGTTGCTGCTGATGATGATGGTGATGATGATGGTGCTGATGATGATGTTGATGATGCTGCTGCTGCTGCTGCTGATGATGATGATGATGATGATGTTTTCTCCAGCTGCTGAAATACCTGGTATTTCGTGACACGGCAAAATGTGGGCTCGCCCCAGACTCTCCGAGAACTGGGTGCGTGGCCTCGGTGGTGGGCGGTGGTGGCGCGAGGTTGTCGAGGCGCCCGCTGTCCAGGAATCGCCGCTCCGACTTCCCGATTCGATTTTTGGCGCGCGCCCGCCCACGCGCCACCGCGCCGCCGCTCGTCGCCGCTCGTCAACACGCCGCTGCCGGCGCGGATGCGGGGCCGCCGCCGGCGCCGCTGCCGCCGCCGTCGCGGCTGCGCGGTCGGCGTCGCGGTCGCTCGTCGTCGTCGCCGCCGCCGCCGCGGTCGCGATCGCCCTTCGACGCCGCGGCCGCCGCCGTGGCGGGGGGCACCGCGGCTGAGGTCGGCGTCGCAGTCGGCGTCACCGACGTCGTCGCCGCCGCCGCCGTCGTCCACCCGTTTCGGCGTGCATTGAGCCCGCCTGCATGGGCCTCTCCGCGAGGCTTTCGGGGCCGGACCTCCGGGGACGTCCAGGGAGGCTTGTGCGGAGCACGCGAAGGAGTGCTCTGGCGCACCTGTTCCGGTAGGGACTCCGTTTGAAGGGACGTGCCCTTGAGAGAATGTCCTCCTCTCGAAGAATGAGAAACGATCCAAGAAGTCCGCGCGGAGCGAGGCATGATCGCATCCTGCTCTTTCTTACCCAGCTGTCTGCGGCAGGTCCCGCCACCGTGCCAGCCCAACACTTCCAGCGGTGACTCCTCGAGGGGACGCGGGAGGCCGTCGCGTGTGACACCTCGTGGTTCCAGGCTTGAGAGAGCTGTGATGAGGATGTTGAGGATTATTAGCTGGCCGCTCTGCGGTTGATCGGGAGCTTCCTCGTTCGCGCCCGTCGTGGCTCCATATGCATGCATGCCCTTCGTGGCCCCGCTGTCGCCCTTCGTGGCCCCGACGCTGCCCTTCGTGGCCCCATAGCTGCCCTCAGTGGCCCCGTCCTTGCCCTCCGTGGCCCAATATACGTATGCCCTTCGTGACGCCCCCCCGCTCGTTCGCGCACGTCGTGGCCCCATGTGCATTCACTTGGTGGCCCCGCTGTCGCCCTTTGTGGCCCCCTCGCTGTCCTACGTGGCCCAGTTGCTGCCCTCAGTGGCCCCGTCGTTGCCTTCTGTGGCCCCCCATTATCTTCCCTTTGTGGCCCCCGCTGGTTCGCGCTCTTCGTGGCCCCATGTGCATTCCCTTCGTGTCCCCGCTGTCGCCCTTCGTGGCCTACTTCGTGCCCTTCGTGGCTCTGCTGTCGTTTTCTCCCTCGCTCTCGCTTTCGCTCGTCGTCGTCGTCGTCGTCGTCGCCTTCGTCGTCGTCGACGTGACGTCGTCGTCGTCGTCGTCGTCGTGGTTGGTCCCCTGTCCGTCCCTCTTGCGATCGGGTTGCCGCCGATTAGCGCTGCCGCTGGCCAGGCCGACGGTCCGCGGCCGCCTCGCCGCTTGCTGGGGCCCGGCCTGCAGGGAAGAAAGGTATACACCCCAGAAGGGGTACGATCGAAGACGAAGAGGGCGGGTATCGAGGGTTTGGGAAATACGGGTTAACGGACACTCGAGCAGATAAGACCGAACAGTCTTAAACATTTGTTGTTGTTGCTGTTGTTTTTTGTTGTTGTTGAACAGTAACGATTGAAGAATGATTATTGTTGATCCCTCCTCCGGTGCACACTGTAGTTTTTCAATTGAAGTGCCCCTCCCGGCGCTCGCACTTGTTTTTTGTAGAAAAGATCTTCCTCCTAAAACTGCGTTGTTGGCCCCCGGGTTACAACAACCACGGCTCCCGCCTGAGACTTCCCCAGAATTTAGCCAGGACCCACGCTTCCGCCCGAGACTTCCTCGCATTTAATTCAAGCATCGCGCTCTCGCTTGGAACTTCTTTACAACGTGTTCAGGGATCGTTTTTTCGGCGCTCTGGAGTCGCGCTCTCGCTGGAGGCTTGCTTGCAATTTTCTGAAGAATAGCGCCCTTGCGTCGGAATTTCTTGCAATCTACTCAAGCGCCGCGCTCCCGACATTCAGGCACCCAGGAGTCGCGCTCACGCTCTTCACTCCTTCACATATTATTTAGGAACCAGGATCTCGCTGCCCTTCGTGGCCCCGTTGCATCCCTTCGTGGCCTCCTCGCTGCCCTTCGTGGCCCCTTCGCTGCCCGGCGTGGCCCCTTCGCTGCCCTTCGTGGCCCCGTTGCAGCCCTTCGTGGCCCCATATGTGCCTGCTCTTCGTGGCCCCCTTTCTTTCGCGCACGTCGTGGCCCCATATGCATGCCCTTCGTGGCCCCGCTGTCGCCATTCGTGGCCCCGTTGCAGCCCTTCGTGGCCCCGTAGCTGTCCCCAGTGGCCCCGTCCTTGCCTTCCGCGGCCCAATGTACGTATGCGTTGCGTGGCCCCCACTCGTTCGCGCCCGTCGTGGCCCCATGTGCATGCCCTTCGTGGCCCCTCTGTCGCCCTTTGTCGCCCCTTCGCTGTCCTACGTGGCCCAGTTGCTACCCTCAGCGGCCCCGTCGTTGCCTTCTGTGGCCCCCCATTATCTGCCCTTTGTGGCCCCCGCTGGTTCGCGCTCTTCGTGGCCCCATGTGCATTCCCTTCGTGTCCCCGCTGTCGCCCTTCGTGGCCTACTTCGTGCCCTTCGTGGCCCTGCTGTCGTTCTCTCTCTCGGTCTCGCTTTCGTTTTGCGCCGTCGTCGTCGTTGACATCGTCGTCGTCGTCGTCGTTGACATCGTCGTCGTCGTCGTTGACATCGTCGTCGTCGTCGTCGGTCCCCTGTCCGTCCCTGTTGGGGTCGGGCTGCCGCCGATCAGCGCTGCCGCTGGCCAAGCCGACGGTCCGCGGCCGCCTCGCCGCTTGCCCGGGCCGGCCTGCAGGGAAGAAGGGTCAACCCCGCAAAAGGGGTACGATCGAAGACGAAGTTTGCGGGTATCGAGGGCTTGGGAAATACGGATGAAAGGACACTCGAGCAGATAAGATCGAACAGTCTTAACATGTGTGTTGTTGTTGCTGTAGAATTCCCACTTTTGAAGAATAAGTATTATTGATCCCCCCCGCCCGGTGCACATTGTTTTTTCAATTGAAGTGCCCCTCCCGGAGCTCGCACCCAGTTCTTATCAGGGAAAGTCTTGGAGGTCAAACTGTGTCGTGGGCCCCCGGCTTACAACAACAACGGCTCCCGCCTGATCCCTCCTCACAATGTATTGACGAATCGCGCTCTCGCTTGGGACCGTTTGGCAATTTGCCATCGAATCGCGGCTCCCGCCTGATATTTCCTGACAATGTATTGCAGAGTCGCGTTCTCGCTTTTGGTATTTCCTCTGAATTTATTCAGATGCCGGCCTTCGACACTCAGGGACTGCGCTCCCGCTACATGTTGCCTGGCGGTTCAAGCAGGACACGGTTCAACGACCCGCTGGCTCGATCCGCCCGTCGGGGCCTGCCCGCTCGACCAGCCCGTTAATGATTGCAGTCGCCGCTCGCTGCCCTTCGCCCGCCCTCGATGCCCCTCACTGCCCGCACTGGTTCCGCGGTCGTCTTCGGTCGCTGCTCTTCGTGGCCTCGTTGCAGCCCTTCGTGGCCCCGTCGCTGCCGTCTGTGGCCCCGCATTATATGCCCTTCGTGGGCCCCGCTCGCATGCGCCCGTCGTGGCTCCATGCGCATGCCCTTCGTAGCCCCTCGCTGCCCTTCGTGGCCCCTTTGCTGCCCTCAGTGGTCCCGCTGTCGCCCTTTGTGGCCCCGTATACGAATGCTCTTCGTGGCCCCCGCTCGCTCGCGCCCGTCGTGGCCCCATATGCATGCCCTTCGTGGCCCCGCTGTCGCCCTTCGTGGCCCCCTCGCTGCCCTTCGTGGCCCCAGTGCTGCCCTCAGCGGCCCCGTCGCTGCCCTTTGTGGCCTCGGGTTTTACACCCTCATGGCCCACGCTGGCTTTTCCCACAAATTACTTGGGAATCGCGCTATCGCTCGAGACTTCCTCGCGATTCATCAGGGCCCACGCTTCAGCAACCCGCCTGCTCGACCTCGTCGCCTGGGCCCGCCTTGCCGACCTGCCCGCTATGGGTCTGCCCACCCGATCTGCCCGTTTGGTTCCACCGCTTGTTTTCTGCTCTTTACCCCCCTCCTAATTTCTCTCGTGCTCCATTCTTCTCCCTCCCACTTCCACCCGTCCTCTCTTCCCTTGTTTTCGGGGCTGCACTCAGAAATGCACGTGGCAGGTAAGGAATATATACCCCAGAGGGGGTACGATCGAAGACGACAAGGGCGGGTACCGAGGGTTTGGGATATACGTATTGATTGGCACGTGAGCAGATATGAGCTAACAGTCTCAAGATGAGTATTTTGCTGTTGTTGCTGTTCGTTGCAACCACCGTGCCGGCCCCCATTTGCTGTTGACTCTTCCTGGAAAGTGAAGCTGGTAGGTGTAAGAGTGGAGAAGTGGTTGGCGGCCGCGACCTCGCCCCCCGGGGCCGGCAGGGGCGTTGGCACTGGGGCGGGAATCCTGATCAGGCACCCCGGGGCCGGGTGGTGTGGTGGCGCACAGTGTCGCGCCGACGACAAGTCATCCCTGAGGATCCCCACGGATTTTCGCAGATTCTGAGTGTGCTTGGGGCCCTGAGCAGGCCCCCTTGGGCTGAGTGAGGCGTGGGCGCACGGGGGTGCGCCCTGGAGGGCAGTACCCTTGGATGTTCTCCTTCTATTGTTGGTTTTTCTTGTGCATCCCGGGGGGCAGTACCCTTGGATGTTCTCCTTGCTTTGTGGCCAGCGGAGGGCCCTACGTTCCATGCATCGGATGTGCTCTTCTGGCCCCGGTCCGACCGCACGCACGAGCCCCGATGGCCAGACAGCCCTCGAGACATCTCAAGCCGCGCCTCGGCGTGCCCATGGGGCCACGGCCGGCAGACGGATGCGCCGCCGATCGTCCGCAGGGCTGGGACGACGAGCGGCTCGCCGACGACGACGCCGGGGCCAGCAGCACGGAGGAGGACAGCGACAGCACCGACAGTTCGGAGCTCGCCCAGCGGCGGGGGCCCAGCCCGGACGTCGCGGGAGCCGCGGGCGCGCGCGCGCCAGAAAGAGAGCGACGGCTCGGGCGGGGGGGGGGGGGCAGGGAGAAAGGGGGGGGAGGCCAGGGAACAGCAGGGAGGCCAGGGAGGAGGGGAGAGGAGGGGACGTGGAGCAGCGGGGGAGGTGCGTGTCAGGGATCCTTGAGACCAGAGGGGCTCCACTGAGAGGGCGCCGTGAGGTCGACAGTCAGCAGTAGCGGCAGCTGGCGGGGCCGAAAGGGGGGTCCTCCTGCTTTTGCCCTCTCCTCTCCCTCCTCCTCCCCCTCCACCCTGAACTTGACAGTATCATCCCCAAGAAATGTAAACAATGCATCGGTAGGACTGCGGCTGCGGCTGTGCATTTGGAGCATTCCGCAGCGGGTTCCACTTACATTCCATTCCACTCCACTCCACTCCACTCCTGCTCCTTTTTCTCGATCTTCCTTATCCTGCTCATCCTCGTGCTCCTCCGCGTGCTTCTTCTCCTCCTCCCCCTTCTCCGCCTCCTCCTCCTCCTCCTCCTCATCTTCCCCCTGCTCCCCCTCCTCCTCCTCCTCCTCCTCCTCCTCCTCCTCCTCCTCCTCCTCCTCCTCCTCCTCCGCGCTTCCCGAGTTTAGACCGAAGCGGACATCAGCTAATCATTCGTCCGAGTGTCGTGCCCTGCGCGAGGAGTGCGACGCGCGCGCTCCCGGGCCCAAGCTCTCGCCCCGTGCCCGCTCCCCGGGGTCCTGGGAGGTGGGCCTCGAAGGTTTTGGAACTCTCGCCGCACCACCACAGGAAAGCCCCTCCTCCTCCTCCTCCTCCTCCCTCCTCCTCCCTCCTCCCTCCTCCCTCCTCCTCCTCCTCCTCCTCCCTCCTCCTCCTCCTCCTCCTCCTCCTCCTCCTCCTCCTCCTCCTCCTCCTCCTCCTCTGCTCCTCCTCCTCCTCCTCTCCCCTCCCTCCCCCCTCCCTCCTCCTCCTCCTCCTCCTCCTCCTCCTCCTCCTCCTCCTCCTCCTCCTCCTCCTCCTCCTCCTCCTGGGCAGGCGGCGCTCGGATTTTTTGGTGCTTGGCCCCGGGAAGGCCAATGCTCGCTGCCCACCGCCAGCAGGCCAGGAGCGAGGTGCGCCCCTGGCCTGCCCGGAGCACACCTCAGTGGCTTGCCTTGGGATGGAAGGTCAAGGAGAACTACTCTTCCTCGTCGGCGGCGAGGCGGGGCAATCCGCACCAGCGAAAGAGCGAAGCAGGGGCACTCCTAAGCTAGTTGTGGTGTGCAGCGGGCGAAAGGAAAGGAGGATGCGCTCAGAGGCGGAAGAATTCCACCATGAGCGGGCCGGGGCGGCAGCAACGGCGCAGCGGCATCCAGGATAATTTCACGCCGGTCATTGAAAGTACGTAGTTTTGGATGCCCAGCTCCCAATCTACGCTAGGCGCCTTCCTACTTCAAGCATCGAGCGGGTTTTCCTCCTCCCTCCGCTTCCGGGGGCGGGCGGAAGCCCAATCTGCTTCCAACGTTTTCCCACTTCATGTTTGTACCCACTTCTTCCGACCAGTGTGTAACTCGGCGATGGCAATGGCCACACAGCGCCTGCTCGGTGGCGAGAGCTGCAGGCCACGCCGGCCCAGCATCCGTGGTCTGGGATGTCCTGAAGCCGCCACGCCATGCGCAGCGGCACGGGCATGGGCTGCGCGTGGGTTCCGCTGTCATTGCGCTGGGCTCGTCCTCATCCTCGTCCTCCGGGTAATTACACAGCCGCGTACGGCTCCTGGGCCGGCGGCTGACGTACATGAAGAAACTTGTAGAATCAAGCCTTGGGGACGAGGAGGAGCGGAAGAAAGGCTGCGGGAGGGACGGGAGCGAGGGATGACCTGAATACCTACCCAGGGAGGGGCCGAACATCGCCAGCATTTTCCCCCAACGCCCTCGGCCGACATCGGCACCGCCGGCCACGACCGAAACGGCGATGACGACGTTTCGGTCGTTCCAGACTCTTGCCAACTCTCTCAACCAACACGCTCGGCGCACCCGTGCCACCCAGCACCCGAAGTCCGGCGTTGTCTACCTCTCGCCGTTTGCATGCCAGGATGCATTGAGCCTTGATCTCTCTCCAGGATTCGAGAGGCTCGTGTGGACCCCCCCAGGAGAGGAGATGTGCGGCTTCCGATTCAGTACGTGTTGCTTGCCGTTTCCTGTCGTGGTGCTTGCGTGTAATTGTTGCAGATTCGTCGTCGTCCTCCTCCTCCTCCTCCTCTGCGCCTGTTGCATGGCTTCTGGGGGGCCTGGGGGGGTTCTTGAGGCCGTCATGAGGCCGTCTTGCGCCGCCCACGGGTCACCTTGATTAGGCGGTCTTGGGTCCTTCACGAGGCACTGTTGGGCCACCTTGAGGTTCTCTTGGGTTCGTCCTGGGCTTTTCAGGGTCCTCTCGGGCCGTGCTGAGGACGCCTCCTGGGCTCCCTTGAGGCTGTCTCGGGTCGTCGTAAGGCCATGATGGCGGCCTCTTGGGCCATCTTGAGCCGGCAGAAGGCCAAAATGCGAGATTGCCAAAACGTTTTTCAAACATACAGAAAACGAATGATTGTGGCATCTTCGGGCCCTGCTGTGAATCCTCCTGGAGCCGTTTTGAGAGCCTCTTGGCCAGTTCTGAGGCCGGCTTGGGCTGTCTCGGGGCTATCTTGGGTCGTTTTGGAGACGTCTTGATCTTGGACCATCTTGGCGGCCCTGGTGGCCTGCTTGGGCCATCTTGGAAGCCATCTTGGTCGTCCTCGACTCCTTGGAGGGTGCCAGGGACGTGTCCTGGGTGCCGACAGCCTCGGGGAAGGGGGGGGGCCGGGAGAGAGGTATAGCAAAGCCAGGTGCGCAAGTGTCTCATCTGACTTCCTACGCCTCCCTCCGATCCCTTACGATGGCGTAGATCTCTTCTCTATTCGCACAGTCGGATGTCGAGCAGGGCAATGATCCTGAGAGGGTACGAGATGCAGGGTAGTGCACGGCGTATCACGGCGTAGAAGAGCACGGCAGAGCGTCGTCGGGTCGAGGACACGTCTCTTGTTCAACAGCAGATCCTGAGGGAAGCCAGAAAGTACGTGGGACGGGAAATATAAATAGTCAGCGCTGGTCGAGAACACGATTCATGTAGACAGCAGGTTCTCAGGGAAACCAGACAAGTTGCAAGACGAAACATGTAAATGGTCGGTCGGAAAGAGCGGAAGCGTAAATCGAGAGCCAACGCTATAGCAGGCACACGATTTGGAATATCCGCAACAGAAATGAGGTCAGCGCTGCAGCGGAAGTATGTATGATTCGGAAGGACCGAGAGCCGGAACATTCAGCCAACATCGAAGACGTTCGGAGTGTAAAACACATAATCGACCTTTTGTGGCGGATCCTGCGTGTAAAAAAATCGCGGAGGGGGGCAGGCTACGACCTCGGGGCTTTCGGGGGAGAGAGCAGGGTAGTTTTATTATGTAGCTTTCAGCCGTGGGAGAGGGAGGAGGGGGAGGAGAAGGGTGCCAGTGTAGAGTGTTTCATTCACGGTTGCCAAAGGGTCAAGGCAGTCTCAGGGTGTCGAGAGGGGGCTCATGCAGCACGAGGAGAATCTCCAAGAGCAAAAGAAGGAAGTGAGGCTGTGGGCGAGGCGAAGAAGGATGAAGAGGAGGTGAGGGAAGACGCGGAAAGAGAGGAGGGAGGAGGCAGGATGGGGAGGTGTAGGGGAATGATAAGTGAATGGCGAGGAAGGGGAGGGAGGGAGTTGGATCAGTCAATTGGAGCAGCGAGCTAAGCTTTTCAGGAAGGGTGCATCATGCATGTATGTGCACGGTTCTTGTCTCCCCAGTCCTCCATCCAAGGGAGGTCTCGTGCCGATTCCATGATCACTTGCGCCGCAATCTACCAGTCTCTCCGTGTATAGTTGCTCGGTCATGCGTTTGCCCGCCAGGTGTTTCAGATTATTCAGATGCACGATGTGCAGGTCAAGTCTGTTTGCACAGAGTGGGCCGGGGAGCATGGAGCATGGCCAATGGGTGGTAGTGCAGATGCCATATTGTAACTTGCGAAGCCGTGGCCTTTCAGCGAATTCGAGCATGCGATCCCTACCGCAGGCAGGCTGAGTATTCGGGGTGTTTGTGTGTGTGTGTGTGTCTCACGCCAGGCAGCCGACGCGGGTTCATGGTCGAGTGGGAGCGCGCAGGACCGCCGACGCGACGCCCACACCCCACTGACGATTAAAGGGCCGATGGACAGACGCAAGCGGTCCGATCAGACTGTACTCGTCACACGCGGCGGCTCCCACCTTCCGCCACCCGGCCCACATTGGCGGCGGGCGAGGGGGGGAAGTGAGCAGGAGATGGCCTTCTCAGAAGGTGCCGGCACTTCTTAGAAGCTCTCGGCGCCTTCTGAGAAGTGCTCTGCGTCCTCGGGAGAGGCTCAGAAAACTTCTCAGAAGGCGGGGGGACTTCGGAGCCTCCTGAGAAGGCCCGCCTCCCCTCCCTCCCCCCGGGCTGTCCGCCGAGGGCCACGCAGCGAGTACATCTAGGCCTGCCAGGTGGGGTCCGAGTAGAAGGGGTCGGAGGAGCGCGCCGCATCGCCGATGCATCCACGATGCGGCTCTATGTGGAGCCTGTGCTTCTCCGCGCCCACGTCGCCGATGCATCGCCGACGTCGCCAGTGCATCGCCGATGCATCGCCGATACGTCGGCGATGCATTGGTGATGCGGCGCGATCCTTCGACCCCATCTATACTCGGACCCCGTCTAGGAGGCCTCCGGTGCAGGCCTGCGCTCCGGTCAGATGGCACACGAAGCAGCGCACACCAGCGCCGGGGAAAGCCTCCTGCGGGAGCCCGGGGCGCGCAAGAGGGCCCGAAGGGGGGAGCGTAGACCACGGCCAGGGCTCCACCCACGGCGCGGCTCGCAATGAAGTCGGGCGCGTCTCTCTACAGGAGGCATATTCAACAATAGTCAGACGAATAGTCTGGGGACGACTTGTTTTCGATTCTGTTTAGACTATTCTTGATTTATTTTGTTGTTTTTGTATTCTCCACGTTTCGCTCAAAGTCTGCCTGCAGGGGGACACGCCCGACCTGAGGCTCGCAGGGGAGCCACGGGCCGAGGGCGCCGCGCGACCGCCAGTCGACGGGCGGCTATACCCCCCGACGATCACGGGCGTGAGCGGGGGGCAGCTTTTTGACAAACCAGGGCATCTGCACAACCGAGAACCCAGATATCCAACACATTTAAAACATCAAGACGGAGGTTTTTCGCAAATTTCGGCCCCTAGGGGCCCTCGCCGGGCCTCGGGACCGTCAAAAAACGACTCAGGATGAAAAACCGGTCCTGGAGAACGGGTCGAGACCACGGGGGACCCGGCATCGGAAAAATCACGACGTCGGATCTCTGGGAGGTGGAAGCCGTGGGCCAAGCCGTTCTCCTTTCCTCGCTTTTCCTCCCTGGCTTGCGGGGGCCCCGAGCCCAGCTCTTGCGTGGGCCTCGGTCGCCGCAGGCCTCAGTGAACAGTGGGAAGCCGACCCCAGCCCCCACAACTATGGATTGTACACGTCAGCGTTTTGCGTTTGCGGTGAATGAGCGTAAGTGTAGGCGCCCTGTGTGCGAGACCATTGCCAGCTGCCGCAGGGGGGCCCCGCGCGCGCGGCGACGTCCCTGGCCCGCTCGACGCGGCCGCGCCCGCGCCGGCGTTCCCAGGGCGGCGCGTGCCACGGCCGCGGCTCGCAGTTTGAGGCGGCGGCGGCGGCGCTGTCCCCCGCGCGGCAGCGCCGCTGGCCCAACCAAGGGCCCCCGCGCCCGCCTCCGTAGCCCCCTCCTGACCCCGCCTGCGGAAAAGTTTAGATCGGGAGCGTTTCTCTTAAGGCAACGGGGCCAATCGTTTTTTTTTCGGCGTTTATGTAAACACGTTTCTTGTGCGTATACACATATAGATATTTTCGGCGCTCTCCCGCGCGAGACTTTCTGCTTCGGAATCTATTTTTTCGCCTGGTGCCTAAATTTTGTTTTTGGGGTGGATCTACACTTTTCGATGCGCGCCCGTGCAGGTCGGGCCCCGGGCGCCGCGTTGGGGGTTCTGCCAGCGCCGCCCAGGGCCCACGCGCCCTTTTTGCCCTGGCACGAGCGCGCGAACGTCCACAGCGGTTTTGGGCGCTCGCCGCGTGCCAGCACAAGGAAACGCCAAGCTCGAATGCCAAAGAGCACGGCAGCAGCGCGCCGTTCGCACTGAATGTCGCGGCGTTGTCGCTGGCTGATCGTCTACCAGTTTCCGCTCTCAGTTCGCGCGTCGCTCGACGGTACCATTGGCCTAAAGTTCCTCATGTGGGTGGTGGGGGGCGCTTGTCATGTGCTCACTCTGCCAGTCGGCTTGTGGGAGTCGATCAATGGAGAGGAAGGCTCCCAAATGATTTCCATACGTCTAAAACATTTTTCAAACATGTCTCACACATGTAAGCACGTGTCCTGGACATTTTTAGAACATGCTCTTAAACATGTTAAGCACATCTATAATCCAATGACAAGGTTGTTTGAGTGTCCAGTGCCACGGCGTCCATAACAGTTGGCTTTCCCGCCTCGACACCCGTCTGCACCTGCCTGCGCTGCCCGCCCTCTTTGCTCCTTTTGCAGGGTGGCGCGCCGCCTCCCTCGCGCACGCAGTTAGCGCCTGTAGCCCTCGCCCGCGCGTGGCTTTTCGCTTCATCACCACCTTTTTCTCACCGCTGGCGCACACATCGCCTCTGTTTGCATGCGCATGTTGGACGTTGAGATGCACGCCCCCGCAGCGTTCCATGCGCTTTTTGTTCCAGACTTGTGGACGGCGATCAATGGAGAGGGAGCGTGTTGTCAGATACTGTCCAGATGTCTAACAAATGTTTGCGACATGTCCGAAGCACGCTGGAAACATGTTTTGAACACATGTTGAACACTTCTTACATGTTAAACACACTCTTAGTTCAATTATAGGTTCGTCAGGATGTCCATTGCCATGGCATCCACAACGCTGGTGCACCTGTCGTTTCTGGTTGCATGCGGCCGCGACGTTGCGACGCGCGCCCCGCAGCGTTCCATGCGCCTTTTCTTAAATCGGGCGCGTCCCTTCTACAGGTGGACAATCAACAGTACATAAAAATTATATGGGGACGAATTTTGGACTATCTGTTAGAATTTCTGAGTCTGCTGTGACTGTTTGTAATTTTGCGTCCAAAATCCGCGCCTGTAGGAGGACATGCCCGACCTAAGCCTTCTCCAGACTCGGGGTGGGGACAGCCGTCCGGTGGCCTCAGGGCATCGGAGGTGGACAGACTTCCTACCCCGGCACGTCGATGAAGGAATATTCGTTGTTTTCGGTTCGCGAGAGGTCCGGGGCCGTCGTTTTTGCGGGTCCGGGTCCGTCGTTTTCGGTCCCAGGCCGTTGTCACCAAGGAGAGGTTTACTAAAGGGAGGTTTGTCCACCGCCGAGAGCATAAGTCGGGCTTGTCCCTCTACAGGAGAAGTGTTCAAAAATAGGTTAAAAAATAATATGGGGACGATTTTTGGGTCATTTTTTGTACATTCCACTTTGGAATATGTTTTTGTATTTTTTATTTTTCGTTCAAAATCCCCCTGTCGGGGGACATGCCCGACGAAAGCAGTCCCGTTCTCTGCGCGTGGGTGGGCCGGCCGGGGCCTCCCCCGTTGTCCGCTGCCGGCCCCGGGGTCCGCCGCTCCAGAGCTGCAGCGCTGTGGGTCTGCAGTTCTCTCGCGCGGGCGTGCCCCGAACACGACGAGCAGCACACACCCATACCCTGAAGTCGGGCCTGTCTTTCTGCAGGAGGGATATTCCAAACCAGCCCCAGGATGCTATGGGAACGATTATTGGATTACGTTTTGACCATGTTTGGAGTATTTTTGTTTTTTCGTTCAAAATCTGTCTGTACGGGGCATGCCCGACCTAACCCATACCCGCAGGCGCGGTCGGAGGGAGAAGGACTGACTATGGGTCTGGGTGCGGCTTGTCGGACCCCGGGGAGGAAAAACCATCGCAACAGCATGAACTTTCGTGGCGCCGCGCGGAGTTCTTGGTCCCCCTCCCTGGCGCGCGGAGCGCGTCAGGGGCGGCGCCTGAGGCGCCGCAACGGGGTGCTCCAGAGCTGATGCAAGAAGTCCGCGCGGATCCCAAACAGCTTCTGCTCGTGAACTGCTTTGTTGTCGCACAGGAGCTCGTCCAACGTATTCCTGATGACGGAATTGCCCTGCTCGTCTCCATTCGTGACGCTCCTCCTCCTGTTCCTTCTCCCCGTCTCCGCACTCCACCGTGCCAAAACAGGGAAGCGTAGACACGCGTGTGGAGTATAGGTGTTGGCCAGGTTCCGCGCAAATGATTTGTGGTTAGAGCTGGTGGAACAGCAGTGCAATAGGACGGAGCGAGAAGCTCGAACATTCTGGAAGTTTCCTGGTTCGTTGGAGGATTTGATATTTCATTCGCTCCACGAGCAAGCACATTATTCACATGTTATGATTGTTGTCATGTTGTTCATACTTCAAGAACGCACGCGATCACCAGGTACCAAGCATGATCGATTTGCGATCGGCCAGAAAGTGTCAGCATGGTCAGAGTGAGGAGGCCGAACGGGCACTCATTGTCCCTTGGTGCGTGGCTCTAGTGGGGATCCGGGGTGATACTTATGCTTGTTGCGGTGCCCTCGTCGTCGTCGTTGTTGGTTTTGTCGTTGTTGTACTTGTTGTTGTTGTTGTTGCTGCTGTTGTTGTTATTGTTGTTGGTGTTGTTGTTGTGGTTGTTGTTGGTGTTGTTGTTGTGGTTGTGGTCGTTGTTGTTGTTGTTGTTGTTGTTGGTGGTGGTGGTGTTGTTGTTGTTGTTGTTGTTGAATATTATTACTTCTAAAGAATAATTATTGTAGGACCCCCTGGTGCACGCCCCCCTCGCCGCGCCTAGGCCGCAGCCACGTTTTCATCATTTTCGTGAGGAAGCCTCAGGTAAAACGATGTGATCCAGATCCGGTTGTTTTGTTGTAGTCGTTTTCCCTTGCAAAAAACATTATAAAATGACATTTCTTGTTCTAATATAATCAAATTTCAAGAATCCCTTGCAAAAAATAAGGTAAAGTGGACATTCGCGCGCGCAAGACGAAATCCTTCCAAAACCTTTGTTTTCGTAGCGATTTTAACATAAAAACATCAAAACAACAATGGTTTTTCAAAAAAAAATGTCAAAAATTCATCCCGCGCGCTCTTGCGGATTCGTAGGAAACCCAACACTTTTTAATCGTTTCTGTCAAACGGGCTTTTGCGAGCAACTTTTTCGAACTTCTGCAACAACGGTTGCGCACCTGCCAGGGCCATCATCCCTGTCAAATAATACCATGCGGGACACATTCGTTTTTTCTTCGCGCGCGCACGCCGTCGTCGTCGGCCGCGGGGCCCTGAATAGTAGCCACGGTCGTCCGCATGCCACGAAGTGAAGTGTCCGAACGTCATAGGGCGGGAAGCTGGGTGTGGGTGGTGGCGAAGAGTCGTTTGGAAATTTGGTAGAGCTTGAACCGGCCCCCCCACAAAGTGGGGGTATTGCCCGCCTCCTATGAAAACCCTGGCACTGGTGAGAACGGAGTGTCCCCAGTCTTAAATGATTGTTGTTGTTGTTGTTGTTAGTGCTGTTGTTTGGTGTTTGGTGCTTGTTGCTTGTTGTTTGATGTTTGGTGTTTGGTGCTTGTTGCTTGTTGCTTGTTGTTTGTTGTTTGTTGTTTGTTGTTTGTTGTCGTCGTCCCCCCTGCGACCCACTCCGCGACCCATACGCGGCCCACCTCACGATCCACCCCGCGACCCACCCCGCGACCCATACGCGACACACCCCACGACCCACCCCGCGATCCACCCCGCGACCCACCCCGCGACCTAGCCCGCGACCCACCCGCGACCCACCCGCGACCCACCCCGTGACCCACCCGCGACCCACCCGCGACCCACCCTGCGACCCGCCCCGCGACCCACCCGCGACCCACCCCGCGACCCACCCAGCGACCCACCCCGCGACCCAGTCCGCGACCCACCCGCGACCCACCCGCGACCCCCCCCGCGACCCATACGCGGCCCACCCGCGACCAATACGCGACCCACCCGCGACCCACCCCGCGACCGGGCCCACGACCCACCCGCGACCCAGCCGCGACCCACGCCGAGATCCACCCACATTGCTTTATCGAAAGAATCGGAGCCTGCGGCGGGCTCAATGCATAATTTGTAGAAGTTAAGCGCCTGCGGCGGGCTTCTTCAGAGCCTCGCAGACTGACGACGTCCTCTGCGCCCCCTCACTCTTATCTGCATCTGCGGGGTGCTACGCGTATCCTGACGAATTCATATTTCTACGTCCAGGTAGCCATTGCTATTTGAAGGCGGCAGGACAGTCATATGTTGAATCCGATTCACGCGAATGCCCCGTCCACACAGAACTTGGCCAGCGTGCCACGAGGCAGCCCAGACTTAGTAGGCAGGCTTAAGTTATAGAGGTATGTTCGTAGACATTCCAGCGCTGTGCTCGTATATGCACTGTCATTTTCGGGAAGCCTCCTCCTCCTCCTCCTCCTTCTCCTCCTCTTGCTCCTCCTCCTCTTCCTCCCCCCTTCCTCTTGGCGCGTCAGGTGGTTCGTTACCTGGTTCGCAAAGGCACTCCCGAGCCACACGGTGCTGCGCGTCGGAGGCTCAGCACCAACCGCGAGCCTGCGAATGGTGAGGGGGGAGGATGAGAAGGAGGAGGAGGATGAGGAGGAAAAGGAGGAGGAGGAGGAGGAGGGAGGACGAGGAGGAGGAGGAGGAGGAGGAGGAGGACGAGAGGAGGAGAAGGAGGAGGAGGAGGGAGGAGGAGGAGGAGGAGGAGGAGAAGGAGGAGGAGGAGGAGGGGGAGGATCAACGTGAGCGATGGTGGAATTGCGAACAGCGCCCGAACACCTCGATCATCCTCCACCTCCTCCGCTGGCAATGCCTGATGATGTGTAGATATTGTTGCCACGTGGTACGAATCTCAAAATATCCTCCCTCCTCCCTCCTCCCTCCTCCTGCGCCGTCGGGTACGCTACGGGGCATGTGCTGCCCCCTGTCCTCAGCGGCGACAGTCTGCATGCTGGTGTAACTCAGGCCTCCAGACCGAGAACCCAGGTGCCCTCCGCTGCTGCTCCTGCTGCTGGTTGGAGGGACGTGTGGCGTCCCAGGGTTATTCATGCTCCTATTCCTGGCGGAGTGGTCCCCGGTTGTGCGCAATCCTGCTCGCAGTGCCGGCGGCTGTCATTGGCGCTTTCGACTGGGAGCCTTCCCGAAGGGCCGCGGGTCGCTGTCGCCCCTCCGGATGGGCCTCTCCGCGACCTCTGTTTCTTCGACCTTTTCCGCGCCCTCTCGTGGGCGCCGGTGCGCTTCTCCTCCTCGGGGGAAGTGTTTGCGGCGAGCTTTTGTTTGTGTATGTTTAAGTCGGGCATGTCCCTCTACAGGAGAACTATTCGAGAATGGTAAAACAAATTAAACAGGGGAGGATGTTTCGACTATCTTTGTCAATTTTGAGTACGTTTGGATTTTTTTTTTTTTTCTTTTCATTTTTCGTTCACAATCCGCCTGTAGGAGGACATGCCCGAGCAAAGTGGATTTGCTTGTTTGCCAGCCACACGAGAGGCTTACAGAGGGGGCATGGTCCAACTGGAGAGCGCAGAACCGCCGACGCGACGTCCACACCCCACCGACCATGGAAGGGCTGAGAGACGGACGTGAGCGGTCCGACCAGACTGCGCTCGTCACACGCGGCGGCTCCCACATTCTGCCACCCGGGCCACGTATCAGCAGCGGACGGGGGGGGGAGAAGTGAGAAGCAGAAGGCCTTCTCAGAAGGCGGCGTGACTTCTCAAAAACCCTCGCGCCTTCTGACAAGGTTTCTGCGTCTTCAGGGAAGGTTCAGAAAACTTTTTAGAGGGCCGAGGGATTTCCGAGCCTTCTGAGAAGGCCTTGTCCTTCTCACTCCGCCCCTGGGCTCGCCGCCGAAAGTGTCGACTACGCGCGAGACTGACCCCTCGCCAGGGTGACCCTTGGCTCCACGGCAGTTGTTTGCGTGCGTTTGGGGCCCTTGCGGGCGCATCTCTCCGATCGCTGCCGGCGCGCGAAACCAGCGGCATGCGTGCGCGCGAGTCAGGTCCCCCCTCCCTCCAGGCCCCATGAGTCCGCGCGCCAATGCGGGCAATATCAAGTCCATACCCGCTGCGTCTCTGTTTTTCGGACTCCCTTCCCGAGGAACTTGACACGCAGAGGGTATGTCCAGTTTTGAAACGTGAAGCAGAGCCTTCGAGGGAGAGTGCCGCACCCTGCCAGGCCACCATCCGATGGCATGCGGGCTCAAGTGCAAAGGGCACGGCGCCTCGATGGCCTTCGCATCCTGGCTGGCGGCCGAGGCAGTCCAGAGTGCTGCCCGGGCCGCGCTGGTGTGGGCCTCACGCGCGGACTGCCCCGCCTGCACCTGCTCGCCTTCTCTTGTCTGCGGCCCCGGGCACGAGGCAGCTCGGCTGCACTGCCCACAGGTCGGCGGTTTGCCGCTCTCCGCCGTGCTCCTGGCGCTTGGGAGCGGGCTGGCCATCGGCGCGGCTGCTGCTCGGGCGCTGGCGGGGCGCGAGCCTAGCCCAGCCAGTTCGCTGGCGCTGGGCTTGGAGGCAGAGACCAGGGCGCAGGCGGCGTTGGCGCGGGCACTGGCAGCAGCTCAGTGATGTCCGCGGTTTGTGCAGCCGCGGCTGGCCACCCCCTCGCCCTCGCAGGCCTCGATGAGGGGGATTGCGTGCCGGTGCTCTACCGTGTGGGCGGCGCTTGATCAATGCCATGCAGCCCGCGGCCTCGTTCGGCACAGGGATCCTGACTCCCGACGGTCACGCGCATGCTGAGGCGAACGGGACCGACGCAATCTCAGGCCGAGGAACTGCCCAGACGGGCGGAGACCAGGAGTATCGGTTTCGTGCGCTTCCTCTTCCTGGCGAAGTGGTGGCCGCTGCCGCCGCGACGTGGCCGGCGCTGGGGCTTGGGCCTGGGCCTGGCATCGCGCTCAACACGGATGGGCGCGTCATCGTGGCGATTGCGCCGGCGGTCGTGGGTGGCGCAGCGGCCGCCGCCGCCCCTGCCGCGGGCGCTCCAGGAGCTGCAGGTGGGCTGGCGGGGCTGGCCGCCGCCCTGGCAGGCCCGCCTATGGCTCCCGCCGCGGAGCCGGGGGCACTCGTGCCAGCTGCCCCGGCCCCGCCTGTGGCGCCCGGCCTCGCGCTCGCTGGACAGGCTGGCGCAGCCCCGCACGCTAGTGCAGCCCTCGGGGCTCTGGGAGGCGCTGCGGTCGCCTTGCCAGACCCCGCTCCCGCGGTCGGAGCCCCTGGCGCGGCCTGCGCAGGGCACGGCGTGGCAGGTCTTGCTGGAGCCCTTGCCGCGATAGCTGGAGCTCCTGGCGGCGACGCCAGAGTGCAGGCAGTCTCTTTCGAGGCGCAGGGGGTCAGGTACATCGATTTCAGGGCCGCAGTTGTTCAGTTGCATGAGCTACCGTGGGGCGATTGGCCTTTCAGCGGCCCGAGGACGCGCTGTTGTGGGTCCTGAGTTTCATTTGCCGCAGCGGGGGGGCACCTCTTCTGCCGCCGTGCCAAGTGGAGGGCCGAAGCATTCCTAGAGCCCGACGATCCCGGCGTCGACGCGCACCTGCTCTGTGGCCGCCTTCTGGAGCTCGGGTTCGCGTGCGATCAGCTCCATATGACCAATTTCGCGTCCATGGAGTTGGTCGGGCGGGCGTTGCAGACGCAGGAGGAGCTATGCATGGAGAGGTTGCCGCGAGCTCGGAGTTCGGGTCCGACGCTGCGCTGATGTCTGGTGCTCTGAACGCTGCAGGCAGCGCGCGCGTCGCCCCAGCCTTGCGCGACTGGCTGGCCGCTGAGAAGGCGCGCGAGGCTAGCGTCGCCAAGGGGCGCCGCAAGGCGCGTGAGGAGCGGCTGCTCGCATCAGGGGGTTGCGCAGCTGACAGTCACGGCGGTGGAGCTAGAGATGGCAGTCGTGGGCGCGGGCGTGGTCGAGGCAAGCACGGCGGGAGGGGCGGCCGAGGAGCCCCGGGCGGCCGTGGCTGAGAAGCGCCGGGAGGGGGCAGATGGGCCTGCCTCCTCCTGGGGCGCAGTTGCGGCTCCCGCCGCAGGCCCTCGGCAGCCGCAGAGCGCTCGCGCCCGTGATGTATTCCGTTGCCAGTTGCAGTATCCGATGAGTCGCATCCGGCGAGACGCGCTGGCCGCCGTTCTGCGCGCCGTTGCGGTTGCCGTGTCCATCGTGATGAGCGCACTCAGGCCGCTGCCTCTGCATTCAATTAACTTTATGGCTATAGGTCCTCGCTGTCCGTGGCAACGCACCAAGGGCAGCGCCAGGCTATCGTGCGCGTTGCTGACAGCGTCGACGAGTTGGGGCCGCCTCCAGTGGAGTTCTGCAATTCCAGTGCTGCTCAAGACGGAGCCCTTGGGAGCTCCTCTCCTGTGCCAGCCTGCGTGGCTCGGGCGCCGCCACGTTCGCTCCCCATGTCTGCGACAAGGTCGCGCGGCCTTCTTTGGGATCGGCGCCTGTCGACATCGCCGGCCTTGTGCAGCCCAAGGAAAGAGTCTGGCTAGAGAACTGGCAGAGTCATATGCTTCGAGGTCGGTGTTCTGCAGATGTCTTGACACAAGCAGCCTGCCCTCGCGGGCCGTGCTGCGACTCGGCCTTGACGCGCGACGCGAGCACGCGCGGCATTTTTTGATTCAGATGTACCAGAGGCAGATGATCAAGTTTGCTGCTGGCGAGGGTCAGCTGCGCGCCGTCGGCCTCTTCCTCACTCCCAAGAAGACGGGGTCCTTCCGCGTCGTCATCGACACGAGGGCCGCCAACTGAAAGTTGTTGGACTCTCCGTCCAACCGGCTGCCATCAGCTGCAGTTTTTGGCGGCATCGTGGCGCCCGCCAAGGGCATGCATCTCTCATCGTGCGACTTGGAGTGCGCATTCTACCGCGCGCGGCTGCCCGCGGGCATGGGGGCGATGTTCACCGTGCCTCCGATCGAGGCGGAAGTGCTTCAGGAGCTGGGTCTCGTGGACCTCATCTTCGCTCCCACCGCGCTGGTCCCCCCCCATGTCCCTGTGCTGCCCGTGGGCTTCTCCTGGGCCCTGCGCCTGCGCCTGTCGGCAGCTCGCGCCGTGCTCGCCGAGGACGGCCGCGGCGCGTCCATGGCCGCGCTTGACGGCCAGCCTGGCGTGGGCCTCGCGAGGAGCGACATCGTCGGGGCGGCCGCTTACGTCGTCAACATCCACAACATCCTTGCCCCCGGGAGCCGCAAGGTGCTGGTTGCTCAGGCCATGGCGAGGCTGGTGGGCATGTCCCGTGCGAGGGGGGTTGCCCGTCCACGAGATCGAGCCCGCCTCCCAGAACGCCGACTCCTTGGGCCTCAGCCTCAGCAGTGGAAGGTTCTTGCGCGCCAAGCCTCGCAACTAATGGTGGCTTCACTTCGCCATCGCTGGGCCACTGCGCCGAGGATGGCACAGCGGTCGCATGCTGCGCGCCGTGCTCGGTGATGTAACTTGGACAGCCACGATGCGCAGGGAGGTCCTAGCCGCACCGCGCAGTCCTGCGGGCTCGTGGCAGCCTCCGGCGACAGACAGGGCAGGATATGGCCCTCAGTGGCCGATGAGCTCACCACCATTCGGGACCTCTTGCCGATCCTGATGTGCGACCTGACTGCCGAGTGGCACCCCGTCGTGACGGCTAGCGACGCCTCGCCCCGCGGCCTCGGCGCCATGCGGCGGCGTGCGCCGCCTGCCACCTGCGCGGAGCTGGGCCGTTGCTCAGAGCGCTGGAGCTACAATGTCGAAGGCGGCCACCAGGCGGGGTTTCGCTCGCTGCAGGCTGCCGGCCTAGCGGCGGCCAAGGAGTCCGAGCCCAGAGTTTGAAAGCGCGCGTCGCCTTCTTCGTCTCTTGATCCGTCCATGCGTGTTGGTGTCGCACGCGCGTGTCATCTTTCAACGCACGCATCCTGTTCAACCTCCAGCCCCGCGGGCAGACCTCCGCGATTCCATCGTCAAGTGCCCCCTGGCGGCAGGTATCCCGAGGGCTCCGACAGGGGCTCGCACAGGGACCTCCTAGAGGAACGCGAAGGAGCAGCGGTGCGTATTGGTAGGCTCGGAGGAGGTCTCGGAGGCGGGCGTCTCGGGCGACTGCGCTGGCGCATTGGAGATCAAGTTTTTATATTCGAACACATAACGCGCGTTATGTGGCCTCCAACCCACCCACCCACCCAGTAGATAACATAACGCCCGCCGCCCCACCCACCCCCGTTGCAGCAGCGCGTGTTGTTTAGCGCACAGGTATGCTGTTCGTAGTGCGCGCGCAACGTGTTTGCAGCGTGAGCAGGCATGTGCTTGTGGTATGTAGAGGCGCGCGGCGCGCGCAGGCTGATGTGGCACCCACGCAGGCGCGGCGGCGCACCCAGCAGTGGAAACAACGAGCAGTTCGGCGTGCGTAGCGCACGCGCCGGCTGCGGCGGCAATTGCGGTGCGCACAGGCGCGGTGGTGTCCAGCATTGTCGTGCGCAAAGATAATTACTGTTGTCCGCGCAGGCAACGGGGGTGTGGGGCCGCGCCCTGGAAGTGTACACGGGCTTTGTGGTGCACGCAGGCACAGCGATGTACATGCTGGATGTGTATACAGGCACAGGGGTGCATTCCTACCGAGAAGACGTCTGACGGTGCGCAATTGCGCACCCTATTTGAGGCCCTCTTCGAACGCTCTTGGGGCCCCTTTAAGCTCCCTTGGGGCACAAAGAGGCTCCCAGGAGGCTCCGAGATGGCTCCGTGAGGGCACCAAGACGGCTCCAAGACGACCCCTGGAGATGTGCAGCGGCCATAGCAGAGGCTTCCAAGATTGCCCCAAGACCGCCCAAGAGGCCCCTAAGACGGCCCAAGAGAGGCCCAAGAGAGGCCCAAGAGAGGGACCACGAACCGAAAATTCAGCTTCCCGCCCTCAAAGGCCCGCAGAAGGCCCCAAGAAGCCCCCAAGAGGCCTCCGTAGCCATTTTGGCTCAAGCCATTTTGGCTCAATCGTGGCTCGACAGCTTCGACTTTTGGGTTCGTGCTCCCCGCGCGCTTCGGCACTGGGCGCGGCCGCCTGAGGCGAGCGTGGCGTGCCCCATCAACTGCCACTGCGACTATGGCATGTCTGGCATCTTGTTGGGCATATTTGTAATTCTCGCCGCGGGCGTGTTCACCTTCTTTCCCGTCTTCCTGAATTGGTTCGCGTGGGAGTGGTACATCGACCTGTGCTGGCTCTGGTTTTGCCTCGGGGTCGTCATCCTGACGTTCGGCTGCGTCTACGAGTGCTGCGTCGGCGCTCCCGACGCGAAGGCCCGGAAGCCAGAGGCGGACGTCGAGGACGGCGCCGTGAATGCCCTTGCGCTTTACATTATGATCAACAACTAGTGAGTTTTGAGCCCGAGTTCGACGCTACGCCTGTTGAACTTGTAGACCGTTCATCATGTGTGTCCTCCACATGTTGCGATCTGCGTTGCCCCGGGTACGCTCGTGCAAACTTGCGACATACACTGACAGACTCAGGTGACATGAGTATTGCTGCAGAGCGGAGGGGGGAGAACAAAAAGAAACCCCCAAGAGGCCTCAACAAGCGCCCAAGAGGCCCCCTGGAAGCCCCAAGAGGAGGCCCAAATGAGGCCCCAAAGCTGCTCCCGAAACGCTTCAAAACAGCTTTCCAGAGGCCCCCGAGAGGCCAACCACGACGACGACGACGACGACGACGACGACGTCGACGACGACGACGACGACGACGACGACGGCCGGAGTCAAAACTGCGTACATCAAAATGCCCCGCTGGCACAAGGCGAGAGAGGCAGGTGCCGGAGACGACTACTACTACTACTACTACTACTACTACTACTACTACTACTACTACTACTACTACTACGACTACTACTACTACTACTACTACTACTACTACTACCACTACTACTACTACTACTATACTACTACTACTACTACTACTACCACCACTACTACTACTACTACTACTACTACTACTACTACTACTACGACTACTACTACGACTACCTACTACTACTACTACGACTACTACTACTACTACTACTACTACTACTACTACTACTACTACTACTACTACTACTACTACTACTACTACTACTACTACTACTACTACTACTTACTACTACTACTACTACTACTACTACTACTACTACTACTACTACTACTACTACTACTACTACTACTACTACTACTACTACTACTACTACTACTACTACTACTACTACTACTACTACTACTACTACTACTACTACTACTACTACTACTACTACTACTACTACGAGTACTACCACTGCTATTACCACTGCTACTTGTACTGTAAGTGCGTGCGCATTGCCGCCGGGCCCCAGGCTCTGCGGTGCTCGCGCGCGCTGTGTTCACAGGCGTTGTGGCGTTCACACGGGTTGTGGCGTTTTCTGGTTATGTCGCGTGCACAGGCGATGCGGCATTCACGGGCGCTGTGGCGTTCGCAGGCGCTACGTTGACAGGCGCTTTGGTGTTCACAAGCGCTGTGGTTTTCACAGACGCTGCGCTCGTCAAAAGCATTGTGCCGTTTACGGGCACGTCGCGTTGATCGGACCGCAAACTATTGTAGCGCTTGACATAGGCGCGTCGTGGCTGTCGGGTCGCAAGCGATTTTTTCGCTGGCGTACTACAGGTGGTGTGCACGTTGACAGCTGTATACACAGGCGCTGTTGTGCACCCGTGCGTTGCGACGTACGCTGACGATGTTGTGCACGCGTAGGTTGCTGCATCAGCATGCGTGGTGTTCGTGGGCATTGCGGCGCTGTGTAGCACTCGCAGCTGCTAGGTCCTTTCGTTGCATGAGTGCTATGACCAATAGCAACAAAGGGCAGTCCTTCCAGCACAATCAGCATTCGAGCGGCCAGGCGCGACCTGCGTTGTGCGCGCGGAACGTGCTGCTGTGGGCGCAGCAAAGGGTGTGACAAAAAAATGGTATGGCGCGTTTACAGTCGTATATGCAGTTTCTGTGGTTTAGTGATCACTGCCATGCGCCATGCACTGTGGTGTACACGCGCGATGTGGTGCGCGCATAGGCTGCTGCATCAGAATGTGCGCATACAGCCATTCGAGCGGCCGGGCGCGGCTGTGTTATGTTATGTGCCAGCGACCCCACCCACCCACCCAGCCACATAACGCGCGTTATGTGGAATAATAAAAACTTGATCTCTTGGGCGAGCACGTCTGGGGAGACTGCGGGGGCGTCTGGGGGCCGCTGGCGCTGCCCATCAGCAATGCGCCATGTACGTTCGATAGTGACCCCTGGGAGCTCGACGAGGTACCGGCCCACATCGCCAGATAATCCGTTTGGAAATAGGTCAGTGCCCAGTCTGTATGCAGAGGTTGCAACAGGTTTTGCCTTGAGGGCGAGGCCTTGGTTACTTCGTATCGTCACCTGCTCCGAAGACGGGAGGCGCATGGTTGCTTTGGTGGACAATCTACCCTTGGCGTTGTCTTGTGCAACCAGTCGTGCCCGTTCGAAGCATCTACGGTCCTGCCTTAACCAGTTGTGCTCCTTGTCGCTAGCTACCGGCTCGAGGCTCAGCGTCCGCTGGGTAGCTTCGGAGAGGAGCCCCCCAGGCGCGCTCCCCCGTGGGAAGTTGGGATGGCCCAGCGGCCACTGGCAGCCTGGCCATGTGCGGACACACCACTGCCAGCCTGGGTCCGTGCGCGCTGCTGCTCCTCATGTACTCCCTCGCGCAGGTGGCGCCGCGGCGCGGTTCCACCGCGCCCTCGGCGAGGACCGAGCGGCGGGCTCGGCTTGCTGCCCAGGCGGCCGGGGGACGGATCGGCACGACGGCCATGTCTCTGCTGGAGCAGCGCGCAATGTGGCCCGACAGGGAGGTTTTCTACCGCCACCTCCTCCAGTCCTCCAGGACTTTGTCAGCTATTCTTTGGGCCGCCGCCTGGATTGGAGCTCCCCGCGCCAGCCCGACGCAATCTTAGCGGAGTACTTCAGCAACATGTGCATGCAGGGGGCAGCCGCGAACATGGGCTCGCATACCATCGCAGCCATATCTCACTTCACCCCGGGGCTTCCGCGTCAGGCTGCGACTCTGCTGCCCAGAGCCTCGCGTGCCATGCAGGCCTGGAAGAGGCGCGCGCCTGCGCTGACGCGGCTGCCGATCCCTCGAGCTGCGATGATATCCTTGGGAGGTGTCCTCATATCGTGGCGGCAGGCGCCCATGGCAGCGTGGCTGGCGATTTGTTTCTCGGGCTACCTGCGGCCAGCTGGGGCACGGCGGCTCACCGCCGACAGCATAGTGCAGCCGTCGGAGATGGCGGGGGCGGCGTGCCAGTTTCGGGGCTTGCTGCTTCATCCCGCGGAGCGCCGCCTGGGCGGCAAGACGGGCCCCCTCGACGAGTCGATCCTCTTCGACCACGACCAGTGCCTCGCGCCTGTCCTCATAGCCCCGCGCTCGAGAGGACCCCCAGGCACTCACTCCGTTATGGAGTGTCAATCTGTCCATGCTGAACCGATTCTTCAAGCTGGCAGCGACCGCCTTGGGCATCTACCACCTGCGCCCCCATCTTCATGGGGCGAGGCGCGGTGGGGTCAGCGACGACCTCCTGACGCAGAAGAGGACCATGGAGCAGGTGTTTCGCAGAGGGCGCTGGGCAGTGATGTCGTCGATGCGCCGCAACGCGAAGGAGACTGCTCTTCTCCGCTGCGCGGCCTGGTGGAGCAGAACCTCTGCGTGCTGCTCGAGAAGGGCGTCAGCGGCGCCGGCTTCATGCACCAAGTGCCCCGGCGGCCGGCAGCTGCGATGCAGGCAGGCCCCGACGCGCCGCGCCGCAGGGTGCGGTCGCGCCCGGCCGCCCGCTCGTGATCCGCAGCTCTTTCGCGAATCGCTGTGCCGGCGACAGCGGCGCAGCTGTGCGCGCCCACCTTGCGCGGCAATGCAAAGGACCGTCGGCCGCGCTTCACTTTGTAGGAGACAGGTGGTCCTTGGGTTTGTTCTGCGGCAGTGGGCGCCTCGCAGCCGCTGCCAGACGCTTGGGCATGTCTGCGCTAGGGTTCGACTCCATCCAATCGGCATTGGAGGACCACTCGCGCCCAGTTCACGAGGATGTGATCTCGGGGCGGCTGCTGAGCCGCGCGGTCGGCGCCGTGTTCTTAGGGCCTCGTGCACGACGTGGTCGCGAGCGCTCCGTCGACCGTTAAGGCCGCGCGACCACCCCATGGGAAGTAGCAGATCTTCAGAGTCGGAGCTTGCTCGCTCGCGGGTTGACAACGCAATTTTTATTTCGCCTGTCGCATCATTCGTTTGTGCGTGAAGCTGGATATCCCTGTGCTGTTAGAGATTCCAGCGAGTTCTCTCATATGGCACGGCCGTGCTCTTGCCAGCCTTTTGAGATCCCCCACAGCTGTTACACGTGACTTCGACCAGTGCCAGTTTGGGATTCTATGGCGCAAGCGGACTAGAGTTGTCTCGAGATCGTGGTGCACTGGCCCTCTCGACAGTCCGTCCCGTCGGTGCTCTGGGCACCGTGGCATGTGTTCGCGCACTGGCAACAAGCGCGTCATCTTGTCTGGCCAGAGCCCCGCCGGCTGTGACTGCACTGCAATGGCCGCCGCCTACCCCGTGCGCCTGTCCTCGGCCACCGCTAGAGTTATCAAGCATGGGGTGATCGCCCGTCCATGGCAGGCCATGGCGGCTTCAATGTGCAAACAGTTCACCTGGGCAGATTTGCTCCTCTGTCCTCTGCCTGTGTGCTCCTCTCTCTTCGAGTGGCCGTTTTGCTTTGCTTCGGCCGGCTAACCTGGGCCCAGCCGGCCATTCCTTCCTTGTGGGGTACGGGGCCTCATCTGTTTCTTGTTGGCCCCAGGTTCTCCCCATTCATTGCAGGCCTGCCTTTGCACTCGAGGGCAGCGCTCTGACTTGCCGCTCGCCTGGCTCGTGGTTCGCACATACTTGGGAAAGCTGAGCAGCCGATCATCGCCGCATCTGCGTCCCTCGTCGCTCTGGTCTGCTCTTTGTTGATGGGTCGGCTAATGGCGCTCGCGTGGACGAGGCGGGCTGTCCAGTTTTGAAACTCGAAGCAGAGCCTTCGGGGGAGTGTGCCGCACCCTCCCAGGCCACCATGCGATTGCATGCGGGCTCAAGTGCACTCACCCGCGTGCCGCCCGCACTTGTGTTTGCACGTTTTCTCGTCTGGGACCTCTCTGTGTCTTGCTGGCCCTCGGTGCTCCTCATCCATTGCAGGCCTGCCGTTGCGCTCGAGGGCGGCGCTCTGACTTGCCACTCGCATGGCTCCTGGTTCACGCATACCTGGAGAAGCTGAGCAGCCTATCATCGCCGCATCCGCGTCCCTCGTCGCGCTGGTCTGCTTTGTTTTGATGGGTCAGCTATGGCACTCGTGTAGAAGAGGCGGGCTCTCTCTCTCTCTCTCTCTCTTTTATCTCTCTCTCTCTCTCTCTCTATATATATGTGTATATATATATATATAGGTTGAAAAAAAAAACGTAGCATCCCGCAGTTGCGGATAAGAGTGAGAGGGCGGAGAGGACGTCGTCAGTCTGCGAGGCTCTGAAGAAGGCCGCCGCAGGCGCCGAACATCTACAATCTATGCATAGAGCCCGCCGCAGGCGAAGATTTTTTCGATAAAGCAATGTGGGTGGATCGCGGGATGGGTCGCGGGTGGGTCGCGGGTGGGTCATGGGCCAGGTAGCGGGTGGGTCGCGGGTGGGTCGCGCATGGGTCGCTGGTGGGTCGCGGGTGGGTCGCGGGGTGAGTCGCGGGTGGGTCGCGGGTGGGTCACGGGGTGGGTCGCGGGGTGGGTCGCGTGGTGGGTCGCGGGGTGGATCGCGGGGTGGGTCGCGCGGTGGGTTGCGGGGTGGGTCGCGGGGAGGGTCGCGGGTGGGTCGCGGGTGGGTCTCTGGGTGGGTCGCGGGTGGGTCGCGGGTGCGTCTCCGGGTGGGTCGCGGGGTGGGTCTCGTGGTGGTTCGCGGGGTAGGTCGCGGGTTGGGTCGCAGGGGGGGCAACGACAACAAACAACAACAACACCAACAACAACAACAATAACAACAACAACAACAACAACACCAACAACACCACCAACAACCATACCAGCAACAACAACCACAGCAACAACAACAAGAACAACAACAACGACAAAAACAACGCAACAAACATAATCGTCACCGCGGATCCCCACTAGAACCACGCACCCAGGGACAATGAGTGACCGCTCGGTCTTTCGCTTTGAATATGTATATGCATACGCGTATATTACCCGGCATGTAACGACAGTTTTCTTTAATTCGTATCGATTGCGTCCCGGGTTTGTGGAATTTGTTTTTCTCCCAACGAGCGACGAAAAGGAACTTGGGTCGACACCGCCGACATTCGTAAGCTTCCCGTCCCGCATTAGGTCTCGCGGGAACGCCCTCGTTTCCAATTTAATGTGCCGCGTTGGCGGCCCGCGTAAGCCGCCGCGCAAAGTCGCTGTGTCATCTTGCGTAAGACCCGCTTCTTTTCCTCGCCCATATCGCTTCAGCAGCCCGCGCGGAACGCGCTCCGGCGCACGCCAGCCTCAGCCTCAGCCTCAGCCTCACCCGCGATCGAACCCAGACCCCCGACGTTGCAGCTTTGGAGGCCTTGACCTTGGGACTGGGACGAGAATGGTGGAGGACGAAAATGGTGGGGGAGGAGGAGGAGCAGGAGGAGGAGGAGGAGGAGGAAGAGAAAGAGAAACAGAAAGAGAAAGAGGAGGACAAGGTGGAAGAGGAGGCCTTTGGAGGCCTTTGGCGTTCCTGGGACCAGATTTTCAATCTGAGTGGCGCTTTGCCGGTGGTGGGACGCGGAGGGGGCCCTTGGAGGCCGACGTGTCTCCTTGCCACGAGGGGGTCTGGGAGAGGGCCAGGGCACAGCCTGCCTGAGGCCACCCTCGCGTGCAGCCGAGGGGCGCACGCTCTTCTGCGAGGGCTGGGAGGAGGAGGAGGAGGAGGAGGGCGAAGCCCTTTGGTGACTATATGGTGGCCCTTTGGGGGCCCTATGGTAGACCCTTTGGGGGCCCTATGGTAAACCCGATGGTAGACCTATGGTAGACCCCATGGTAGACCCTATGGTACACCCTGCGTTGGGGGAGAGAGGCCCTATGGTAGACCAGGTCGGGAGACACTCCGAAGTCCCACAGTCGACGCCAAACGCGTCAACCGCGTCAACCCGACACGCCAAATTGCGTGCCGCGGCGGCGCGCGTCCGAAGCCGTATCTTTTTATGTGCTCTAGGGCCTCGGGAACTTGCTCGGGAATTTTGGAACGGGTGGCCACGGCCCCGCAACCGCGCCATCTGTAGTTAAGAACATGTCCCGAATCTTTTTGATTTTGTTCGCTACTTCAAACAGGTGGTCCCCCTGGGCCTTGAGTGCAGTAATCATCAACTGTCGGTGTAACTCAATCTCGGGCGTCGGCGTGTACGGATCGTAGGGGTTGCGTAGCTCCCACCGACGGCGGTACACGCCTGTTCTCTGTTCAAGAACCATCGTCTCCATACTGTTAAGCCACTTGTCCCAACAATACATGTACGTAGTGCTGGCGTTGAGCTCCTGCCTGGCCTGGATTAAGTCGATCGCGCACTTTGCTCTCTGATAGTCATGTGAAGTATGCGTGTCATGCGGGGCAACATTGCGAACTGGTTCAGAACGTGGTCCCTGAGAACCATGCGAAGCTGAAGCATACGGGTGAACAACACTGCGAAAGTGTTCAGAAGGTATATTGCCGTACATGCGCGGGCCGTCACAGCCAAGATGAGCAATAATCGGAGAGCGGCGCTTGCCAACGCAATTCAATATCGGATGAATGCGCTGATCTACCCAAAACTGGCTATGTTTACATGTTTGTGCGCGCATGCACGCGTGGTTACATATGTACATATGTGTGAACGAGTGTGTGTGTGTGTATATGTTTACATCACTAGATGTGTATGTATACATATTTGCACATATCCAGTCTACCAGTGCGGCTCGCGATCAAAAAATCTAAAAGAATTAAGTGCGGGGCCAGCGTGGCAGCCATGTTGGGGCTCTAAGAACACTCACGAGGGCCCGCGGCGGCTCCATTTCAAAACTCGGCTCTCACCTGACTTGGATCTGCAACCTTTTGTCGATTCTGCCTCTCGACGACCAGCCAACCAGCCAAAATTTCACCAGGCCAACCAATCAACCAGCCAACCAGCCAACCAACCAACGGCCCCCTGCTAGCCGCTGGCGCGGGAGTGGACCGCCGACCCAGTCGGGGCCGCGGGCCTCTTAAGGCCGCGGGCGTGTGAGCGGGCCGCCGACCCCCCCGCGGGGTCGCGCGCCTCTCTTGGCGTGTTAGCGCGCCGACCCCGTCGGGGCCACGGGCTCGCGAGTGGTCCGCCGACCCCGCTCGGGCCGCGGGCGCGCGAGCGGTCCGCCGACCCCCGTCGCGGCCACGCGCC